ATCAAAGCACACGTTTTGCATTGGCGACCAAGTATTGCCCAGATAAGAATATTGAACTGAAGGCCAAGGTGGATAATCAAGCCAAGGTCGCGTTCGCATCTACACACCACCTTTCCGACAAGGTCAGTTGAGTCGTCTACCGGATGTATTCAACCGGAATTGTTTGCTTTCAGTTATATTTCCTACGCGACTTACCTTCAAGTTTTCATCTTTCAATTTACGATTAAATTGATTTGGATGTAATGTTCATGGAACGTTCAGAACTAATGTGAGGTTATTTTTGTTGCTATGTTTCAGTTGAAACTCATACTCTCGACTCAGTTTGCGATGGATCGGCTCAATGAGGGAGGTCACAAATTTGGTTTCGGTCTCGTTTACACGCAATAGTCAGCCTTTGCAGAAGATGTTCAAACAACTAATCATTCGCAATAGTGCTCATTGATCAAGTACTTCCTCTTGCAAGTATGTCGTCACATGTCTCTGATCGTTATTAATTTATGAATCACTATAATCTTTTTCCAAGTTCTGATCATTATCTACACTTGGTGATTGTTTCGCATATCAAGTCAGTTTTGAACTTACAATTAGACTGTTTAATCATTTTCTCAGTGGAATTAGGGAATGATAATGAAGTGGTCGAGTCAATCTGCTCAAAGATCCTTGTTAAATAGATTCTTTTGAATGATTTACTTGTTTGACGCACTTTTGATTGATTATAAAATTTTGTTGCGTTTATCACTTTTTGTTGAATGAATGGATTGTTTTGTCGTTAGTTCGTTCGAAAAATATCGGTATCGATTATTGATTACGTGTAGTGATGATATCATTATTGTTCGCATGATTAATTGGGTGTGGATTTGATTCTTGTTGTGTTTTCAAATGATCGATTAAAACAACAACTATGTTATTATTATTATTATTGTTATATGTTTAGCGTTTATTCGTGTTAGTCGCAGTTAGCTTAATAAAATATCAAGTGATTCAACCATTTCCCTGTTTCCTCACATTCTGTCGCGATAAAACAATGAAATTATCTGAAACAATCTAGTCATACAAGTGAAAAAAAATGCTCTTTTGAAAATCACAGATGCTTCAAACTGATTCAAATTATGTTATATAGATAAAGGAAATGCCGGATGCTCCAAACTGATTAAAATATATAGTTATGAAGATAAAAGAATAGATATAAATATCAGTAGTTGAAATATTTAGAATCGTCAAGAAAAGGAATGCTCATCAGCATTCTAGAAACAACAAGAAAATGGAATTAGGATTGATATGAAATAACAATAGATTCAAAGAAAATAATTTAGTGAAACTTGAAGTAAGCTCTTAGAAACGTGAGGGCATTGATTGTGGAATCATTCATTCGCGTTCTGAGTGTTGCGTAGAAAAAAGAAAATGCTGAAGAAACTCGTTCACTCTCAACGCTTGTCGGTGGGATCGTCTTGATTGATCTGAGCAATTTGTCCATATCCACAACTACTTCCTGCGTTTCTTCATTCAAATGCATCTCAGGGATTACTTTATAGTCCACCTCACTGTTTCTATTACTGCGTACGGAATTTTTTGAATTCAACATCAATTCAATTTTCTCTGAGAATGAGATATCACGTTCATTGTTGCCATTCTGAGACGAGTTGATTGCCATCGATGAGCTACACCCGGGCGCACGATCATCACCATTTTCATTCCTCACACCAAACAGTCTCGACGATAAATTCACTGCCAGTTCCATGATATTTTTCTTTACAATTGTATATCCCATATAATCGGTTCCCTCGCGAATATATTCTTCATCGTTCATATATCTCACCAAATGCATTAAAGTTGATATTCTGCGTTCGTTGATCCTCACCAGAAGTGCATGCAACAGATCACTGGCGATGCTCGTATTCAGTGCCCTGAGTGCATCGACCGAGAACTCTAACGTTTTATCTGCTTTGAATAGGTCTATATCTCGACGGCACAACGTGTTCACAGCAACTTCGAATACTTCCAGTGCACTGCATAAGTCTTTGATTTCAATGCGGTCTTGTTCACTGAGTTCGTTTGGGATTTTTAGAGCCGCAAGAGTCTTCTCAATCTCAGCGGAGCACTCGATAAATTTTGACAACATCGTTTTCAAAGATGTCCATCTCGTCTTACAGTCTCGTACCAAGTTGGCATCTTTGCCGAATGTTTCACTGATAAATTGTTGGAGTTTATCGTTTTTCAGCGGAAATCTCTTCAACACGAAGCAGTACTTTCTCACCAACTTAATGTGTCGTTGGTACATCACAGGAAAATGATTGGCTTTTTTCACTAAATCCATCTTGAATTCTGCGTATTCCTCATCAGTTTCAGTAGGCTCTTCGTCGTCATCAGAATTCTCACATTCGTCGAGTTTTTTCTGGTTATAATATAAAACATCGCAAACAGCCAAATGCATTCCATGCGCCAAACACAACAGGTGAAGCGCATCGATGTTTTGACCAAGCGTTACCATAGCCGAGTCTCCATCTGATACAACGGCAATGATATCAGTTTTCAAATTAATTTCGAACTCTTCCATTTTTTCAACGAGAATTTCAGTGACCTGAAACGTTGAAACAGATTCAACTAAATCTTTTAAAAAATGCATTCAATGCGAATAAACAACAATAAACGATATCAATTCTCGTAAGAACACACCCGTTCAGTTGATACAGAACCAGTAATCGTTATTGTGCCCAGACAATAGAGTTTCTCCAAAGCACGGAGATTGACAATCAGATAGCGTTTGTTTCTGATTGATAAGTATTCATCGAGGGTTACACTGAATTTCTCACCATTCCGTATCAAATTCTTTATCTCTTCAATGACGTTTGATTTCGCAGCTTTGTAATAGTCCATCAATAAACCCTTGATGGTGTTTGCACAAGAGGGTAGCGGTGTTTTGTTGAGTCGAAACAGCTGATGAAGAATGTCACTTTTGGCAAGAGTGTTGAAACTCAAGCCATCAACGGCGCAAAGCTGAGCGATCATTTCATTCAGTGGACTGCGGATTGGTGCGGCAGGTTTCGCTCTGAGGGTTCTCGTAATCGGTGGCTCTTTCCTGGCCTTCGGAGCACTAGTAGTTCGTGCACTGGCGAATACAATTTTGTGCTTGGACTTCAAATGTACAAGTAGTCCTTTCGTCGACGATCCTTTTGCTTTCTTAATTTCACCGCACAGATCACATTTCGCAGTCTCGTTGTCTTTTCTGAACAGGAAATATTCCCAGCAACGAGAATGATTCAGACTTTCGCCGTACTTCTTGACGTATCCGGATGAAGTTGCATTGTTCGAAGGCATCCTTCAACAACAGACAATGCTTCACTGAAAGACGACATACTGTCATTATACAAAGATTCATTACCGTACTAACAAACGTTACCGTATACGATCGAACTGGAAATGATTAATAATTAAGGAAATTAGGCAAATTATTGCGAAATTTATCAAATCCCGACGGCCGGGATTTCTCATATCCTGATTTTCGGGATCGAGACCGGGACCGGGATTCAAAACCCGGCATCTCGGGATTTTTCGGAAACTCCAGTCTACAGTCCAAGATTACCAGTAGTTTCCAAGTGCTGTTGGTATTCTTCGATTAATCGTAGGCAAGAGGCAACACTCAG